TCTTTTTCACTCTAAAAAATATGGGGAGTTAGAGCAGTCTTTGTAACATTTCTCAAGATGACTGCAAATTCTGCACTCTTTCTTTTTTAAAACCTTAAGTCCGAGACAGTTTTGACATCTTGGTGTTGGGAAAGTATACTGTTGTTCTTTAGATGCTGTGGGAGCTATTTTTACATGTTCTCGTCGGGAGAGATTTTGTGTCTTCTGATTGTAAGTTACTCTGATCTTTTATGATATTTAGTGTAGCCCTCAATAGGATTTTTTTTTTTTTTTTTTACGGAGCCAATTTTTGTTATTAATTTTAGCAGTTATGGGCAGATGGTCACTCTTTGAGTGCGGTCCTAATACTATTTCAAAATTACTTGAATTAGGTGGTCCTGTTTTTAGATCTGGTGTTAAACCTTTGCCTGTTTTTGGGTCTTGTAGTTTGGCCTAGAGGTGTTAATAAGATTATTGTGGCAAGGGTTATTAAGTCAAATGAGTTTTTCTCCATTTTGTTGGCTAGTTTTGAATTTAATTGAGTCCCACAGTGGGTGATATGCATTTTAAGTCTCCTGTAATCAGTTTAGGTTTTTATAATTGGTTTGTATGATGTTTGGTTTCTTTGTGATATTATTGCATAAATTCTATGATTGTAAAATATCAAGCCATTTATTGTTTAAGGTAAGTTTAATTCCTCATACTTCTAATTTAGGTTCTAGAGTGTCGTTTAGTTTTAGGGCGTTTTAAAATCTAAAGAGGTACAAAACATTTCCCACTATTCTCGTCCCTTTTTTTGTTTATAGTATTATTATTTGACATGTTTTGGACACAAGAATTTTATTTTTATTTATTATTTTGTGTTAAATTCTCTGTATCTTAGTTTTATAATTTTGCATTTTACATTGTTGTTAACCCTGCTGGTGTTAGTAAAATGGTATTGGTTTGGTTTATAAGGGCAAATGTCTCTTTGCCCATTCTGTTTGCTGATTTTGATTTTAATTTTGGGTGCCAACATGGGCAGTAACCCTTAGCCACCAGGTGGCATGTACATACATGCTATGGCATGCCCACACTATATTCCAGGTGACATATGCACACATGCCTTGGTGCACCAATCCTGTTTTCTGGGGGCATATATGGTCATGCCTTGCACTCTAGGGTGATGACACAATCCCCCGGCAGCGGGGCCTGAGCCACTATCAGTAGAACATTTAGTTAACTGCTTTTAAAAGTTATCTTTATCCCCATGGTTTCTATTCTGTGTCTGTATTTATCTGTTACGTTTTTTAGTTAATTTGGCAGTTTATTAGGTTGTTTGTGAATCATTTTTTATACAAAATGCCAACCCCCTCTCTATTTGATCTGTCCTGTCACTTCATATTACTTGATAATTTTGCAAGGTAAGTTTGTGTTTATTCTTCAGCCAAGGTTCACAGAGCCCTTCTAGTTCTCTCTGTTCTTTATTTATCAAGTAGTTTAATTTAAATTTTGTTCAGGACTGATCTTCTATTCCATTTATGCATTTAAGTACTTCATTGAATTCTTTAAGATTGGTGTTATATATTTGAGGCTTCTGTGATTATTTCTACTATTCTATGCTATTATATTATATATACTATTATATCTGAATTCATGGTGTTTATTACATTTGATTTATAGTGACAGTGTCCTTTATTGTATTTACCCATGAGAAATTTTTTTGTTGGTTTTTCTTCTGTCTTCATTTCTCTTGGAGTTGGCAGGGACCCTGTTACACAAAGATTTGGTTGAATTTTGTGTTCCATGAATCTTTTTTTTTTTTGGGGGGGGGGTGTTTTTAATGTGGTCTTTGTCCTAAAGTTATACTTGAGGTTGGTCTGATGTTGGGCATTATGTTTGTGGTGAAATTTGGTCTATTGTTTTGTGAATTTGAGTCAATCTTTACTTGTTGATAGTTTTTTTTTTCCCTGTGTTCTGGTTATTTGCGTGTGTGTTTTAATTTTTATAGGTTTAGTTCATAAAACTGTTTAGATTTCTATGTTGATTTGTGTTATATGTTTTATGTTTATTTTTTGTGCCACTCAGTGCATATTGCATGAGCTTGCATTAGCTGGGTGATATCCTTGGTAGTAAATGGAGTATTCAGTATTTGTACAGTCTTTATAGTTATGATTAATTAAACACTGCCTTTGCTTACCTAATCTCATGGACATATCTAAGACATCTGTAACATTTTGGTATAGGGAAAGTATATTGATTAACTGTATATGTCCTCTTCCTACTTGGAAAGGAGTTATTTTCCAGAGATTTTGTTGGAAACCATTTTTTTTTTTCTTTATAGTTTTTTTATTATTATTGATAGTTTCCTATAGTATTTCTAAATTATTTATAAATTATCTTTTTATATTTCCTCTTTAATTTCCTCAACAGCTAAGTCAGTTTCGACATCCCATGTACTTAGTAGAGACTGGTTGCATTCAATAAATTTCCCTGGTTTTATTCATTTATTTTTTTTCTTTTTTCTTTATATCATTACCTTCAAATCTTATGGTCTTTCCTCTGCCTAGTATGTATAGGGAGTCCTCAGTAATATATTTTTGAAATTCAGATTTATTTATTAATTCAGTTAATTTAAAGGTTTGTTGAATTGAGTTATTTCTCTATTTCCGGCTAAGTTAATGAGTACTACATTTGAATATGCTTGCCTGTTTACTGCCAAGTCTTCTGTTGTGGGGCTTTTTTGGTGTTTCTGCCAGTTTTGTTTTGCTGGGGATGTATGTAGATGCACAGTTAATGTCTTGTATGATGAGAATTATTTTATGTCTTCTATTTACATATTCATAATAATCTCTTGCTGTTTTCATTCATACACAATGGGCAAGTGTTATAACTTCTGCTGACACTTTATTTGAGATGTGAAAATTTAACTTCTCATTCTCTGATGTGGAAAATTGAGCACTTCAAATGTAATTGTGAAAGACCAAAACTAGCCTAAGTGAAACTTCAAAAAACATGTGATTTGTGCCTGGAATTAATTTTACACTCCAGGAAAGTCTACTGATACAGGCTCCAACTTGATATACAAGTGAAGGTCATGAGCTCTTGTTGAAGTATGGAGGCCACTGTGATGCTTGATATGTACGTTTGTGAACTGATAAGTAATGATTGCCAGCTTGTCTTTGCCTTTTGTTGATATTTCTTAGCATCACAGTTATAGGAAATTAGTGTTTTTGGTTTACATTCAGTGTCCACTGTTCAATTATACAAAAGTCAACCATAATAGTAACTCAAAGGATTGTTGGCTTTTCACTGGAGCACCAAGAAACATGGAAGCAGTGGCTTTTAATTACCGTCAGTACATCCACAATTGTTGCTGACTAAAATTGTTAAATATGGGCAGTACATATTAAACACAATTCATTGATGCCAAATGTGTGACTGGCAGCTTACAGTGTTATTTTCTGTTTTCTGAATAGTTGGCATCACTGTTAACAAAATTGTTACTAATATAGTCCTTTAGTAAGAATAAAGCTATATTAATTGTTTCTTTATCTCTACACAGTCCTCATTTCAAGACAAATAGATATTTTTATTGGTATGACTCAATTTGTTGGCAGGAGTAAGAAATTAGGCTTCCTGTAATACTAGAATAAGTCATTTATGCCACATTCTTACTCCTGCCACAAGCTCCAGGCCTGCATTGATAGCAGCAGCCTGTAGACACGTGATCAGGTGCTCTTAAACGTTTGTTAAGTACAGTCTACTCTTTATAAGAGACTAAAAGTAGGGAATCCCTGTCCATATAATCAAAGCATCTGTAACCAAACCTTAACAATGGGATCAAATAATCCAAATGTAGCTTTATCTAATTGTTACTTAGCTTCAACTAGAACGTTTTTCTTTCCCGAGAATTCTTGACAAACATCTCCTGTAAACATTTTAGATACTTCTTAGTTAGTTAAATGTTGAACTGTATTTTATACTGTAATTTGCAGTACCTGGATACTCTCTCCAAATGCTTTGATTTACCGTATATCTTTGAAAAAAGATGTTGATAGAAAAACGACGAGAATTATAAGAAAGATATACATGAGTAAGGAGGGAGATGGTGATGTGGGTTAAAGCTGTTACTGTGGAGTAGCATACAACTCGCACTAGACTCTGATAATACCGCAATAGAAGTGGGAAAACTACTTCTCATACTATTGCTACCATTACTAATGATAATGATATTGCGAAAGCAAAAATAGGTAATTCATTCCCCGGATTCTTCTCCTCCTATTTCTCCAACAACCCATCTCCATTTGTAGTACCCACTGATTTTTTTCATAATGGCCCCTTTGCCAGTTTTCCTTATACAATGTTCCTCTTCCTTCCTCAGACATAGTACTCTCCGTTTCATCCAATCGCCTACGTCCTTAACCCTTTCCTGTTTTACTAACCTCCACCTTCATTTGCACCCCCTCTTTACTCTTTTCACTATAAACTTTTACATCTAACACATTTTATCCAGTCCTAAATGACCTTTGATATCTGGCTCCTTTTTTTTTCTTCTTTTTTTTTCTTTTCTTTTTTTTTCTTTTTTTTTTACCATTAACCATTACCCTTGTCCTTGATTTTTTGAAAGATTTTATTTTACTTTTTATTGTTATTAGTATTGCTAATAGCATTATAATATGTCAACAACAAAAATAACATCAATATTGTAATAAAAGAAAAATCCTGAAAACTGAAGACAGGAGAAATCAGCTGAGGACTCATAGGCTTACTAATTGTTTCTTTGGTGGCTGAGCACTTGTGGAGTCAACTGTGTTGAACAAATTTTACAAAAGATTACAAAATTTGGCAGAGTGATTACCCGGTACAGTTGGGTTAAGTAATTATGCATACAAGCTTATAAGTTTCCGATTATGTATCATCTGTGAGGAATGAATCCCTCATACATAAAGGAAAGCTAATATTTTGACATTTCTCAGTAATTTTAGATGATTTTGTATCTGAAGTTGTCTCAAGATTTAACAAATTTTAACCCCTTGCAGAATCAGAGAATGGAAATATCAGCACCAAGACTGGAGTGATGCGGTCCGGCATATACCGCCTCCTAGGGAGATGCCTTGGGGTGGCAGGTTATATGGTGCAGTACGGGTGCATTGCCCACTGCACCCTGGAGTTCGTGGGGGACTTTGTTGTTGTGAGTATTTGTTTGGTGTTTCCTTGTTATTTTGAAATAACTTGTAAATATTCTTATTCCAGGACTTCTGTAGAATATGTTTCACAGTTGTAAGTGTCAAGTGGTATTTTATTACAAATGTCTGAAGAACATGATTAAAAAGCCAAACATTGAATATATAGTATGAATTAAAGGATTAAGAGTTGATCCTGCATCCTCCCACGGGCCACAGTTCTTCAGTCTGCCATTGTGTATGCCAGAGGTTTTCAACCCCATGGTCACGACCTAAATGAGGGTCGCAGAGGTTTATCTGAGAGTTACCAGAGGGTCTTAAAAAGGATAGGTAAAAGAATGGATATTCAAGAGAAAGTTAACATCCTTTTAATACTTGTTTTCTTTCCCATTTTAAATTTATTGAAATTTATTGTGTTAGTAAATTGAACCACTATAAATAGAATAACATAAGCTCATTAACATCTGCAAGTATAACCAACATGAAATTTTTTTTTTTTTTTTTTATTTGTTTTTCATTATTATTATTTTTTTATTGTTATTTTTTTTTTAAGTAAACATGTTTACACATTTAGGGTCACTAGTCTAGGTCAAGACTGCATTTAGGATAGTAGCCAAAAAAGACTGGGAAGCACTGGTGTATACAGTTTGAAATCAGAATATTATCAGAAGACACTTTTTACCAAATACAATTCTTCCAGCATTAATGTTTGGTTGAGAACCCTTATCTGATTGAAGAACCAAGACTGACAAATGAAAGGATTAAGATTGCCCAATATTTTAGTCTGGTTCTGCTGCAGTTGCACATGATCTGATCTTATTCTGAGAGGCTTTGAGAGTGTTTTGCAACATTTTAGTCTTCGTCAACTTTTCACAGTAATGGTGAAAGAATAGTGTGTGGTTTACTAACTGTTTTCCATCCCCATTTTACTGTATAGTGCAATTTTTTAAAGTAAAAACTAAAACACGATATTGTGGATCTAACAACCTCTATTAGAATAGAGTTGGCAGCAGTGATGCAGATCTATCAAACATCGGTTCGTCTGTGACTTTATGCTAAACATATCAGAGAACTCCATTGGAATTGTAAAAGAACAATTGTGCATTCAATCTGGATATATGGAAGGCCCTGCCTCTTCCTGGGGTAAAAGCATACTGTTGATAGGGTAATATTTTGATTGATGATTATAATATTTGATTCATAATTGAGTAACAACATTTGCTTCTTTTTGATTTGACAGTGTATGTCAGTTCGTAACTACATTTTGCATACACTGTTGATTACATTTGATATTGGAGTATGTGATCTGAAAGCACCTATTGGAGTCAGATTGTCTGTTTCACTAGAAATAATGGTAGTTTGCTATCTTACTATCTTACTATCTTTTTTTTTTTACTATTATTATTATTATTATTATTATTATTATTATTATTATTATTGCTCCTATTTTATAACTAGCCCCTCCTTATCATTTCATATTTTTTTCCACAGGCACATGCACAATTTTATAGAGGCACATATGCATATATATATATATATATATATATATATATATATATATATATATATATATATATATATATATATATATATATATATATATATACATATATAACTGCAAAGTTAAATGCATTATAGGTCCTTTTATTGTGCAGTAAATGTTATGAGATATTAGGTCACTGGTTAGATGTCAATTAAAGACATGCAGTATGATAAGAGAGTGTGGCTTCCTGTATATTATGTCCAGAGTAAAAAGACTGGTATTAATGCATACATAATAGATAGCTTTTGAGTGCTTATTCTAAGCCAGGACTGGGTATGTTAACCCAGTGCCAACAGGCATGGTATGTACGTACATGCCCTCTGTGAGGTTACTTTATTGATTTTACACATATATGGCTACACTTGTACTAAGCCACCAATGAGCCAATTAGAGTACTGCCTGTCTTGCCAGTTTACCCTTTTTCCCGATTTTGGAAAATATTTTACATAATCTTAATTTGCTATTACTAATGTTTATAACATTATAGTAATTATAATTATAATTATTTTTAAATAAAGATAACACCATCAATATTCATAACAATAGTAAAAAATAAGTTTTTCCTGCCAATTCAAGAAAAGGTGAAATTAGGTAAGGTCACAAGGTCTACTAATTGACTCCTTTGTGGCTAAGAACTAACAGAGCCATATATGTGCAGAGACATTTCACAAAAATATAAAAAATGAGCACAGCATTTTGCCCACTTTTTATTCATTCTCCCCAGCAGCATGTGGTTAACAGAACAGCATAACTTAGGGTTGGTGTAATTTTACTTTTACTATACATTTCTTTTATCCCCCCCCACACACACACACATACACATGTACACAAAGGTTGGGGGGGGGGGGTTGATTTAAACCATGATTTTTAGAGATCATTTTAAATTGTTTGATATAAATTGTATCAACCTTGTGGATGATATTCCTGAATGTCCTTCAAGATGACTTCTTCATATTTACAAAAGTATTCCACCCTGTGAATATCTATTTTAATAGAGATTGCATTCCATCACTCTCCTCAGTTATTCAGAATTCAATCGCTTACTCCACAGTGCAAGGGCCCTTCCATGGAGCCCACTATCTTCTCAGAGGATGTCATACTGACCGAGCACATTTCGCCTCGCTTCAACCGCATCCAACGTGGCGATGTCATCATTGCGAGGTCGCCCACCAACCCCCACCATCACATCTGCAAGCGGGTCACAGGGATTGGAGGGGACAAGGTCAAGAACGGATACAGAATACACATCGTGAGTACCACTTCCATGTTTCTCGTCACAGGTTTCAACTGGAAAGGAAGGGAACTTAATCTACGCTTGAAAGGGAAAACAGCCATGGTTATCTTATCTTATTTGTGTTTTAAATCTTTTTATAATTGTACACATTATATCCCTTAGTTATTGCAACGTTATTCCCAAAAGATTGAAAGACTTTAGATAAAGCCTTGAATTATCACCCATAGAACTTATGAATTCCCTCAATGCTTAGTCACCAACTGTATTTTTTATACATTATTAACTTTGCGTTTTTTTAGATATTTTACTCATTTGTATAGGCAGTGTGTAAAGTTCTAAACTAAGTGATATGAAAAAGTAGATGGTGTTGAGATAGAATTTTTCTTGATTTTAACAAACAATTTATTAGAGTGCATTAGTTTGCAACATGACTGGAAAAGGGTACATAAAAGACTATAGTACTTTGAATTTATCTTTACCATATGACAAATTTTAATGTCATTATGACTTAGCTTCATGGGTTTATTTTTCCTGCATGAAAATTGCCTCATCAAGGTGATACAGGCAAAACATTCTTGAATCTTCCTGACTTTTGTAAGAACAAGAAAATAGAACATATTAGGAATGAATATCACACTGTAAGTTTGTTAAAATATGAAATAGATATAACACCTTCTTACCAATATGTAAGATTTTTTTAGTTCTATAAAGTATCTTTATTCAGAATATAACGTGAGATCAATTCCTTTGTAAATATTAACTACTTACCTTTGTATATGAAAAAATTGAAAAGGTTGTACCAGGTATTTTTTATCTGGATTTTACCTGCAACTTACTCCTTTGCAGATATTACATCCACTTATAAGTATACTATAGGAGTTTGTTTGGAATATCCCCTCAGAATATAGCCTAAGATGTACTCCTTACACTCTTTCATTAGATCATAGCTCCCCTACTTCCTTACAGATAACTGTTTGTATGTGAGACAAAGCTTTAGACTTATAGAAAAACTCCCTCACAAGAATATAACTCTACCATTTTTTTACATTCCAGGTACCAAAGGGGCATGTTTGGCTAGAAGGAGACAACGCTCTTAACTCAACTGATTCCCGCACTTTTGGCTCTGTTCCTGCTGGTCTTATTCGTGGAAGGGCTGTGTGTCGTCTCTGGCCCCTCTCTGATGTTGGAAGACTTGACTCGATGCAGAAGTGGCAGATAGAGCGGTGATACTACTTTGGCAGTCTCTTGGGCCCTACGCACCCTCCCTGCCGCCAACCCCCTGCCCACCACCACACATGATGAGAAACACCTCTATTGGGAAGCCATGTGCAGTGTGTCAGCACCACTTTGTTTGCTCATTATCCGTGCCATGTTTTATTACCTGTTGATGCTGGAAGCGCATTTACACAGACGTCAGAGATATCCTGTTTAGGTCTTCCTTACAATTCAGATTGACTTATCCCTCAAAGTTTCTCATGCACAAGACAGGGTCTTAATATTTCTTATTTCTTCTATTTAATAATCTTAAGTGTTTTTTCCTATAGTTCTCTGTCCTTTTCTATTTCCCAGGAAGGGCTGCCGAAGAGGAATGTCACGAGAGAAGGAATATTGATTATATATGTAGTTGCACACTCACTCACTCACTCACTCACTCTAACACACACACACACACACACACACACACACACACACACACACACACACACACACACACACACACACACACACACACACACCTATATACTTTTTTTTTCTTTCTTTTTTTTCTTTACAGAATCAGTGTTGTAGGACAAACTATTAAAAGGGAGGGGAGATGATTTTGATTGTTCTTATTTATTAAAAATATGTAAATGACACGGTAGCTTGTATAAAAAAGAGTGACCATGTGAACAGTGGCTGTAATATAATTGAGCTTTCTTAGGATGGTGCTAGACAAGCCATTGTTCCTTTGGTTAAAATGTAGTTCTCTTTTGTGACTGGATTTCATGTCAACACAAAAGACTACAATGAACTTGCATGTAGATTATTTTTAATGTAGATTGGAATGTTTCTGTTAGAGATTATTATTTATTGCTAAATACTCTTATATTTTAGCAATTTTCCCATCTGTTTGAAAAAGAAAATCAGGATAATTGAATTCAGGTTTTGAAAGGGCAATTCATGTATAAGTTCTCTTTGTGTCAAGACAAGAAAACAGACTGATAACCCATGAAAGTTTTTCCTATATATTAAACACATTGAGGAAGGTATCCTCCTCAGTATGGTCAGAGGGACAGAAAGGTTTTGTGTTTGAGAGAGGGTCAGTTTTGGGTGATAGTTCAGTGCTGTAGAATATACACAGAGGTTCATCTATTTGTATTGGATAATCTCTGAACCTGTAGGTACTAAGAAGTATTTAAGATAGTATTGCCCAGAAACCCCCAGTTCACAATTTTGTATTCTTCACATTAGCATTTCAGAACAGGATGAAGGGGGTTGAATTATAATCATTATACTTTTTTAATGGTTATATATTTTCCCATGTATTAATATTATTATTATTATTATTATTATTATTATTATTATTATTATTATCTTTTATTCTGTTCTATTAAGATGATATTGTACTTACATATGCATTTCAACAGGATTCATGTTTTATAATAGCTGTAATTGCTTTAAGGTGAATCACACTTGAGGTTCCTTTATTTTTTATTATTATTATTATATATATATTTTTTATTGATTTTATTTATTATTTGGAGATAGTTTATATAACATAGAGATATCCTGAGTGCTACCCTTGTCTGTATACAGATTACTCAAGTAACTATTTTAGCCTGGCAGATGAATGGTTTGATGTTTGTGGCAGTATAGTATGTAGGAATGGGGAAATGTTTCATTTTTCTGTTCGTTTAGAACTATAAAAATCACATTGTTGTGGTGACTTTAGTTTCCCAGAGAGAAAAACTTCCATATTTGTAATCACTGTACTTCTTTGTTCTGCTAACATTTTTTCACCTCTTTCTCCTTTGTTTCTTCTGTCGTCTTCTTCTTCTTCTTCTTCTCCTATTCCTTCTCCTTCTTCTTCTCCTTCTCCTTCTCCTTCTCCTTCTCCTTCTCCTTCTCCTTCTCCTTCTCCTTCTCCTTCTCCTTCTCCTTCTTCTTCTTCTTCTTCTTCTTCTTCTCCTCCTCCTCCTCCTCCTCCTCCTCCTCCTCCTCCTCCTCCTCCTCCATCATAATTCTTCTTCCTTCTCCTCCTCTGCTTTGTTTAGTTAGATCATATAAACATCACAAAATCATTATATCAGTTTTATCTACTGGTAATCTACCTTTTTTATTCCAGTTAAATAGAACCAAGGAATACTCATTACAAGTACAAAGGAAATATCAGTCATGCCTTTTTATCAATGTAGAATTAAAATACTGCCAAGGTTGATGAAGAAAAATACAATGAAACACACGAGTCACTCCTTGGTGAGTTGATTACGAGGTACTGTTGTTGTTTTTTTTATTTTCTAACAAAAGGAGGAGATTGTTCGCGTTGCTGACTAAAGGAGAATTAAATTGTTAACATTGCCAATAGACGGAGAATTAGATTGTTCGCATTAATGTCAGTGTGGTTTACAGTGTTCATCAAAGTGTAAATTGTCTGATCTCAGTGGAGCTTCTAAATATATTACGTGTATTGTATTGTACTTGGCAAAAAAAAAAAGAAAAAAAAAGGCTATTCATAAAAGATAGGGTAATGGGGTTTATCTCTCTGCATGGGATATTGTGCAGAAGTACGAGATAGTGTTTAGGATTTTATATAGTCATTATTTATGGGGAAAATTGTAATATTTTCGGAAAGTTGTAAATTTTGAGAATGTGCAATGTAGACATTTCTATATTATTATTATGGACATTATTATTATTATCAATATTGATATTATTGTTAATATTATTATTATCATTATTATTAGTGTTATTGTTATTATTAATCATCATCATTTTTTTTTTTTTTTCACACTATGGTGGTGATGTCAGAAAGTTTTTTCTTTTTTGATATAATAAACTTCATTTGTATTTGTTATTATTATAATACTTATTATCATTATTATTATTATTATCATTTTTATTATCATCATCATCATCATCATTATTTTTATTACCATTTTTTCATCATTATTCATTTGATAAGAAGATATTACCATCCCATAACAATGTTGATGATTAAGAGATAACCATTAACATTTTCCCATTTTGTTTATACGTGATGGAACATGTAGTAAAGGTATTTTTTGTAAAGCTGTGTTTTCTTGTGTATCCTGGAAAGAAATTTGCTAGAGAAATTATTATTAAATGTTTATGGTAAGGTCTGCTGTCCATCTTTCCTCACAATGGTTTAGGAAATGACTTCAGTCCTTGCCAAAACACATTTATTCTTTGGTAATTAGACATTTTGATGGATACGTAAATAATTCTTTACATACTGCAAACCTGAACACTTTGATCTATTATTCTAGTTAGCAGATGAGTTTTTTTTTTGTTTTTTTTTTATGTGTATGACATGGTACAAACAGTGAATGCCCTAATCAAGTCTGTGGCATTAGGAATTTGGGAAGTGAAATGTCTTTTGATGATGGTTTTGTAGCCCCAATTCTACGAATGTTATAAATCAAACTTCTGTACAAAAGATATTATATAAAAATCAATTTGTGTTAAATTGGTCTCATTAGTTATATTACAATCTAGAATAATTAATCATTTATAGTAAAATATTGATCCCATGAACTACTGCAGTTTAAAGACTGAGCTAAATGTTTGTAGAATCAAGAAATTCACCAACTTAATAACTAACTATTAATGTAGTATGAAAAATTATACTGTTACAAATTATGAGAACAATGGTTACATAAAGAATTGTTTGGATTCTTGATGCTTCAACATTTCATCTCAGTGCATCAAATTTCCCATAAGAAACATTTTACACACAATGAGACACTTACGAATCCTAGTTTTATAACTGTCAATCGTGAAACTTGATAAAAGCAAAACTAACATACTTTCAAAACTTATCTTGTATTGTTAGTTCATATCAAATGATCAAATAATGATCATAAGAGTAAATAATTAAGACCCTAATATTTTAAAGTTGAGAGATGAATTAAATGAACAAAAAGACCACAATGCTAATCAAAATCATAGGAATGAAACTATATTCTACTGGATAAATTAATCAAACATCGAACAAGTAAAAGTAATGTCTGTGACCAGAAAAATTTGAAGATGAATAAAGGCAAATCCCAAGGAAATAATCAGCTGCCCAAAATACTTCACTGAACTATCGTTTTTAGAATGCACGTGATTATTTATTTCCTGCACTTAACCCATTGCTGCCGGGGATGGCATGTACGTACATGCCATGCCCACTGTGAGTCGACTAGTTCGATTGTTTTTACACATAGATGGCTACACTTGTACTAAGTATCCAATGAGCCAATTACGAGTACTGCCTGTCTCGCCCGTTCACCCTTTTCATCGATTTGCGAAAATATTCAACGTTATCCTAATTTGCTGTTAAAAATAACACCATCTATATTTATAGCACTAGTAAAAATACGTTTTTTCCTGCCAATTCAAGGAAAGGTGAAATCTGGACTAGCAGGGCCATCTATGGACAGAGAGATTTCACAAAAATATAAAAAATGAGTACTGCATTTCCCCCATTTTTTGTTCATTTTCCCCGGTGGCAATGGGTTAACTGTCATCCCTACCTGTTTGTAAGATGTCTGCTTCACCTTCAGGAGGTCATCTTGTCTGCAAGAAGATTTCCACCTAATCCTTTGTTCGTTGTTGCCAGGGGGGGGGGGGGGGGGGTAGGATGCAGAGACTGTGGCCCAGTGCCTTGGACCTCAGCCCTCACGTCACTTAGCTTTGCTGGGGGTCTTTATTTCTCCCATTCCTTTTCTTCCTATTCTTCATCCACTTCTGTCTACTTATCCAAATCATTAACCCATATTTACCCTTTTTGCCACAATACTTTATAATGCTGTGTAACCTTTGATGACTGGTACATTTGTTTGTTTTGACCAATGACCATTCTGGAAATTCACACACTGCCTTACTGAACAAAAAAACTTCCTTACCAGGGGGCTTCTCCCCAAGCCCGACCCTATTGCTATTTTGTATAGGTCGTTAACGCCCTTAGATGTTGACATGGTAGAAAATTTTCAGTAAATAATAAATTATAATACAAGAAGACTGTATTGAGGGTCCGGGTGGCATCAGCAAGGAGAGTTCCAGAAGTTGGAAGCAAAAAGAGAAAAGGACAAATAAAGGGCAATCACTGAGTTACCAATTTTTAAGCAATATTGATAGCACTGAAACTGTAGACCTAGTGTAGCACAGTCATATGAGTGCAGGTGGCACACCAGTCAACTCTTGGGAACAATGACCAAAATGGTATCTGTATAAAAGGTATACAGAAGCTACCTGGTATCAAAGAGAAAAAAATCAAGATGGGAAGCTCAACGTGTGAGTTGATATGGCAGACTGAATCCCGTCAAGAAGGCGGCCCCTTACATGAGGCTTCATGCATTATGAATAAGACCTTTGAAGAGCTGAAGTTACTGTTTAAAAGTAAAGTACTAATGACACCTGAACAAATTTCCTAGCCTTTTAGAAATTCTGGATATGTGATGTTGCCATTATATGTAATATTAATTCCCAAAATATAGAAGCATTGAAATTTACTATATTTTATTCATCCCCTTTTTTAAGATTCTGTCAAGGTCGGAGTTGAGAG